TAATGATAACGTAATAAATAATAATTTTAATTAAAAAAAGATAATATTTATGTATTTAAATTAAAAAAGTGAAAATTTACCATTATATACTTCAAAAATCAAAGAAATTTTAGGTAATGTCGTGAGATACTTATATGTATAGTTTATTGATATATTCAGTAGGGATTAGTTTTTTTTTGTTTAATTTAAAAATTCAAAAAATTTAAAAAGTAAAAGTTTACTATTTAATTTAAAAATTCAAAAAATTTATTTCAATAAAAAGAATGATAAATTCATATTTTTATTCAACCCATTTCTATTCATTTGAGAATCAACCAAAATTTCAAATTTATCCGAATAGAGCATCAGTCATTATTTGTGCGGATGCAAAATATTTCATTCAAAATCAATGGATTCCCTTATCATTCTTTGCAATTTTCTTTCTAAAAAAAAAAAAAACAGGAGGTTGAATGCAAATAATTTCATTTAAAATCAAACAAAATACAAAGAAAGGGAAACTGTCACAAAGAAATTTAAAAAAAAGAAAAAAAAAAACCCCTACTGTATCTCTCAGTATCTCATCCTCATCATCATAACCATCAACATGATCCATACCATACTCATCACTTGAATTCAAATTTACAGCCAAAGCCCCATTGTCATCGTCCTCTGAATCTGACTCAAAGCCAACCAGCCTAACACTTTCCCTGTGGGGTTCAAGTTTGACTTCAACCCCACCAACAGTGGAGGCAGCCCCGCTGGAAGCCAAACTTGAAACCCTCCTCTCAACCCTCCTTTCCACAGGGAAATCATCATCATCACCACCAACATCTACCTCAACATCACTGCCACCAATAGTTTCAACAACAAAAACAGAATTACCATAGTGTGTCTCTATAGAACCAAACCCTAACCCTAAATCTAACTCCAAATCATCCATATCCAATTCATGGGTTCCATCAATAACATCGAAACCCAGATCAGTTAATGCATCGGGGACCAAATCAACAGGTTATTGTTTTGATTGCTAGTGGTACCATCGGAAATAGACCAAATCAATACCTGGGATTGCTCGACGCGCTGGGGTGGGAGATCGATGACGAAATTGACTTGGTTCCCCTGGTCATCAAGGAGATCGAGGCCGTTGTCGATGACGAGCGCATTTAGAAATGAGAATTCATCGCGATCGGAGGAGAAGAAATGGAATTCATGGGACCAGTAGGGAATGGGATCCAGGGTCAGGGTTTGATCAGGGCGAGAGTGGTGGTGGGCGACGACGACGTCGTCGGGGTTGTGGAAGTGGAGATGGAGGCAGAGACGGATCGTGGTGATGGTTATGATGATGAAGATGATGATGAGCCCACAAGACAAGGTGGCAAAAAATAAAATAAAAAAAAAAAGGCCTAACCCGGTGTGACCGTTTGCACTTAACGGTCAATAAACAGAACCATTAGTTTAATTGGACGGAGGGACGACAAGTGCATGCTTTTGCATTGTAGAGGGATGACAGGTAGAGTTA